TTTACCATAGAGTAAGATTTAGAGGTTAATCACTGGTCTATACTCGCATGTTAGAATGTCGAACGTTGATTTTATCAATTCTCAGGTCATCCTAACGTGCATAATAACACATCACAACACAATCTCAGATTAACTACAAGAAGGGGGCACCCAGAGTGATATGAACTCATAACTCTGCCTTTGGTCAGCCAGTGGGAGCAGGCCAATAGACATAATACACGCTGTTTAATGATTAAAAATGCGGCGTTTATTTAAAATACGGAGTATCTGCTATGATATTGTTCGATGTAATAAAAAATGTCGGATTATAAAAAATAAAGGCTTACGGGCCTCATCACGTTGAAGCACCGATTCCAGTAAGATTACTGAAGTTAAGCAACGTCGAGCTTGGTCTTATCTAGATGGGTGACTGATTGGGACTACCAGCTTGGATGTGCGGGTGGTTTAATGTATAACATCGCGGAATTGTTAATCGCTGAGCCGAGTTCCGATTCCAGTTGGGTTTGTTGTATTCAATTACGCGCAAAAGGGAAAGATATGAATCCACTGCTTCTCCTTTATCTATGGGTTAACTAGTAAGGTTTGTATCACTAACCCATTATTATCTCCCCCCCCGCAAAATTAATACAATCTAAAATTATTTTCTCGCTTTAAATAACCTGCAAAATTGTTGATAAGCCGTATTAAAAGAATCAGTCAATAAAAATATAAATCCATATATTTAAAAATTGTTTTGTTTATGATTCGGATACGGAACATGGCAGATATTCCTAAAACATAATGTGGGTGAAGTCGATGTGCTTTCCTTAAAAAAGGAAAATAGAACCTTGCTTGCTGTAATGTTTTCGTGGCCGAGCGGTAAAGCACACCGGATAAAAAAGGCGGTTTTCCCCCTATAAAGTAAGTGACTTTTTCTTTATCATGATTTCTCGAATGCGCAGGTCTATAGACTTAATACATGCTGTTTAATAAATAAAAATGGTCTACCTGTTTCAAATACAGAGAATCCACTATAATAAAACTTTATTTATAGTCATAAAAATGTCGGATTAAAAGTGTAAGTTCCTTAACTCTTTAGATTTAATTCTACGCTAGGTGCACTAATCTGGGTACATAATAAGCTATCGGTCATCCTTTATGGCAACGAATTTTGGACGATCTCTTCATTAATAAAGACGAGACTTGAAACAACATAAATGTGGCTCTACAGAAGAATACTGAGAATACCATGCACTGAACAGGTGAGCAACGACGAAGTTTTAGAGAAAATGGAAACAGAAAGGTCATTTATACTTGACATCAGAAAGAGAAAGCTGACATTTCTATTTGACGTTAGAACAGTGTTTAGGAGATAAAAACACAAAATGTATTAAGAGCTACAAAGGACAGGAATTTGCGGAGAGCCATGATTGCCTACGTTCTGGAGGAACACTGCATAGAGAAGAAGAAGAAGAAGAAGAAGAAGAAGAAGAAGAAGAAGAAGAAGAAGAAAGTTTTTGCTGATACAAGAGTTATTTCCCTTGTGCTAGAATTATTTCCCTTTATATATTTAGAGATTTGCATGCGAATATCTCGTAATAAAAATGATTTAAAATGCAGTATCATTTTGCATAGCTAAAGAATAGATATCTAGATACGAAGGTACATGATAAATTTTAAAATTTATATAAAATCGTTATTATTATTAAAACCAATATAGAAATAGGTCATTTTGTTGCTGATCGTGTGTGCTTTTGCTCTCGTTTTTGCTATAATGGTTTGCCTTCTTGTAGGAGTGATTATTGAAGCAAATGTCAGTAAATGTCAAGTTTTATAAGTTGCGATCACTAGGGTTTATCTCCGGGCCAGACCCTCAAACGAAATGTGAAATGTTTATAATTGTGATGGACGCATTAAAAACACGAGAAAAATGTAAGGAATTTTTATTGGTATTTCTCTCTCAACACGCGCGGCCCAACTAAATTCCAGTTTGCAACGTTCATTTCAAATTGATTCCCATTCAATCTGCCTTTTATAACAGAAGATGTGAAATTGAAACTAATTTTTTTTCTTTTTCTTTTTGGCATTTATCATTTTTTTTTGTGGCGGGTGGGGAGGTGGAGATGCTTGTGGGACGTTGGATACGAAGCAGCATCTTTGGTTTTAGGTTGTCGCCTGACTGCAACCGCGTGTTTTACTTTTTGCAATCTGTTAGGAAAAGGGGAGGGGAAATTTACTTAAGATTGGCGATTTCACCGGAAAGATAAAGAACTGTAGTGTTCGGTTACTATAGCAACGGAAAAAATAAAACGATTAACACACGCATATACGCGTGCACAAACACACACAGATACAAACTCACACATACGCACACACTATAGTCCACTAAATCAACGAAAGATATAACGTGTAACACACACATCCGCACACAATATCGCATACGAAAGCAACTAAAAAATTAAAATGACTAACACATGAACATACACACAGATTGAAATACACGTATACTAAGGCAATCGAAAAAAGAAACGTGTGACACAAACACGCATATACAAACACATAGACACGCCAAGAAATAACATTCTCACACATAAATCTATTACAAATACGCACACATTAAGGTAGTAGAAAAAAGATAAAACAAGCCACACACACACACCCGCACACACTGATGCCAAAAACACACACTATTGTACGCAGGAAAAAATGAATACACACACAGACACACACGCACGCACACGGAGACAGAAATACATAAATTCGCACATACTATCGCACACACTCAAGCAACTGAAAAATAAAATGAATAACACACACATACTCACGCACACAAGCGCACAAACCAAAACACATACGTACAGAAGTAACAGCAAAATAAAATGTGTTACACACACACACACACACACACGTGCGCGCGCGCACGCACGCACACACGCAATCTTAATTGATTGGTTGTTTCATTTGTTATTTTACTGCTTACCAACCCTTTGTTGGTTATTTAAAGCCAGAAAACATTTTTAGATTGTAAGAGTTGTTTTGAAGATAATACCGATTTACTGATACAAGTCCTATTAATTAACCTATAGCTGGGGGGGAGAAGAGGTGAATTCATAGCTTGCTCAAGCACGCAATATGAAAGAATGTTTGAAAACTAAAAAGCAAATCAAAATCTTGTTTTCCGATGAAATATAAAAGAATCATTTCCAAAAGATCAAATTACTTTTTTTCTACAATTCCCCAACATTTGATCAGACCAAATTTTCACTGAGCATCATATTACATTAGAGGCAAAAAAAAAAAAAAAAATGAAAGACTGCTACTATATTAACAATTATAATGTAGCGTGTTTTGTAACGAATGGAATTGTTCAAGAACTGTGACGATAAAGACGAAGATATCAACTTAACATTTTCAAACGAAATGAATTTCAAAACGTGGAGGAATTTTATTGATATATTTTTTATAATTTTCTGCGGGGTACAGAATTTTATTATACCAATAAAAAAGGTAGACTTATTTTACTTTTCATGATTAAAAAAGAAAAGTGAAAAATAAAACAAACACAGCCGACCGGTTTCGCCGTCACTCAACAGAGCTGAATCGAGAGATTATATATTGCAAGAAAATAAAACATAAAAACGATATGTAATATTAATGAAGGCGGAATACAATTTAAATTAAAGCCACATTAAATCCTAACAGACACTTCCTCTGTTTACAGAAGGAGGGCTGTCTGGACTGAACATAAATTGTTTCTAACACCTTTATCTGCAATATAGAGCGACCACGACATAAGATGGTAAACGAGTCAATGCTAAAGTTAGCGGCACAATTTGGGTTTTTAATAAGATGCTCCGTGATGGAGGAACCATATGTATTGTTCAGAACGTCCTTTAATTGGAATGTCCCATTCCTGATTTTTCTACGTATATGCCGCTGTATTCTAGCATCTAAACTTAGGGTTGTTCTATCTATGTAGTCGGCACTGCAACTACATTTAAATGATGAATAACATTGTTAATATGCTAGCAGCGAGTAGAAAATAGATATATTTTTATAGAATAAACTACCTCACAAAGGAAGAGAAAGAAAATTATTCTTACGTTCTTATTTAATCATTTCACCTCAAGCAAGGCAATAATGCCACTAAGACGCAAAGGGTAACTGAGATTAAATGAAGATGAGAAGACTTTAGAAAGTACCAGAAACCCAATCCTAAACAAGAAACAAGGAATAAAACTTTACTCCTGTACAATAGACGCGGAAGGATTGTGAACCGGGCTATAGGCGACTCTAGCTACTCCTATACAGATAGTTAAAAAAGAGAAAGTTTAGCCGCAGTGTATATATGTGTGTCATGACCACGTGCTTTATTTGAAATTAAGAAGTCTGCTACGCAAGGAATGTCTCTCCGAGAGGGAATAATTCTGTTGTTATCTCGTATACCAAACGGAAAGAGAAAGAATTACACCGTTCTTTTATAGTCCTGAAACAACGCCACCGAGTGGACGATTTCGCAGCCAAGGTGGGGGTAATCTTTACAATAATAAAGAAAGATTATATTGCTTTCAATATTTACCAACATTTGACTAGTCTGGCACAAAACCAAAAAAGTGAAGCGTCCAGTGAAAATCGAATACATTAATTATAATTTGCGGAGTTCGCTTGATAATCCCTAATCTTCACCGTGATGCCTAACATTGTCCGATTACAGCAATGCGTCCAATTCAAGCCGAAACTTCCTTATATTTGACTGTGTCTACGAAACAGACACTACTTAAAAATATTTCCGAGTTTTTTCGGAGTTTATCGTTTGTTATCATTCGTCTGTTTGTGTCGCATCCTCTTCATTCACAATGGCTGAGAATCTTGGAAGTCGATGGCTTGAAAGTCGACAGTAAACAGAAACGCGTTTTTAAGTTTGGCACAATGGATAAGAGATTTGATTCTTAATGAAGATTGGACACTTGTTATATTTTGCTGCTGCCTCCACATAAAGATATGACAAAAAATTCTTTTTCATGTCATTCTTTCCCGTTGTAATCCATGTAATCATTTCTTACATTTGTTTCAAGCTGCATGTCGCTTTGTCTTTGTTTGTATTCAGCCGACCAATAAGGCTTTCTTTCCAATCTATTCACAATATTTTCTTTTCGTCCTGGGCATCACACTTCTTTTCTTTCTTCCTTTCTTTATTGTCCGTATACTTATCTTTCTTTCTTTCTTTCTTTCTTTCTTTCTTTCTTTCTTTCTATTCACCACATTTCCTTTTCAGACTACACAACACACTTTCTTTCTTTCTTTCTTTCTTTCTTTCTTTCTTTCTTTCTATTCACCACAATTTTTTTTCAGACTACACAACACACTTTCATTCTTTCTTTCTTTCTTTCTTTTTTCTTTCTTTCTTTCTTTCTATTCACCACATTTTCTTTTCAGACTACACAACACACTTTCTTTCTTTCTTTTTTCTTTCTAGTCACCACATTTTCTTTTCAGACAACACAACACATATTCTTTCTTTCTTTCTTTTTTCTTTCTTTCTTTCTTTCTTTCTTTCTTTCTTTCTATTCACCACATTTTCTTTTCAGACTACACAACACACTTTCTTTCTTTCTTTCTTTCTTTTTTCTTTCTATTCACCACATTTTCTTTTCAGACTACACAACACACTTTCTTTCTTTCTTTCTTTCTTTCTTTTTCTTTCTATTTACCACATTTTCTTTTCAGACTACACAACACACTTTCTTTCTTTCTTTCTTTCTTTTTTTTTTTTCTATTCACCACATTTCTTTTCAGACTACACAACACACTTCTTTCTTTCTTTCTTTTTCTTTCTTTTCTTTCTTTCTTTTTTTTTTCTTTCTATTTACCATTTACATTTTTTCTTTTCAGACTACACAACACACTTTCTTTTTCTTTTTCTTTCTTTATTTCTTTTTTCTTTCTAGTCACCACATTTTCTTTTCAGACTACACAACACACTTTCTTTCTTTCTTTCTTTTTTCTTTCTATTTACCACATTTTCTTTTCAGACTACACAACACACTTTCTTTCATTCTTTCTTTCTTTCTTTCTTTTCTATTTACCACATTTTCTTTTCAGACTACTATTCAACACTTTTCATTTCTTTCTTTCTTTCTTTCTTTCTTTCTATTCACCACATTTTCTTTTCAGACTACACAACACTTTTTTCTTTCTTTCTTTCTTTCTTTCTTTCTTTCTTTCTATTCACCACATTTTCTTTTCAGACTACACAACACACTTTCTTTCTTTCTTTCTTTCTTTCTTTCCACCACATTTTCTTTTCAGACTACACAACACACTTTCTTTCTTTCTTTCTTTCTTTCTATTCACCACATTTTCTTTTCAGACTACACAACACACTTTCTTTCTTTCTTTCTTTCTTTCTTTCTTTCTATTCACCACATTTTCTTTTCAGACTACACAACATTCTTTCTTTCTTTCTTTCTTTTTTCTTTCTATTCACCACATTTTCTTTTCAGACAACACAACACACTTTTCTTTCTTTCTTTCTTTCTTTCTTTCTTTCTTTCTATTCACCACATTTTCTTTTCAGACTACACAACACACTTTCTTTCTTTCTTTCTTTCTTTCTTTCTAATCACCACATTTTCTTTTCAGACTACACAACATTCTTTCTTTCTTTCTTTTTTTCATTCTTTCTTTCTTTCTTTCTATTTACCACATTTTCTTTTCAGACTACACAACACACTTTCTTTCTTTCTTTCTTTCTTTCTATTCACAACATTTTCTTTTCAGACTACACAACACACTTTCTTTCTTTCTTTCTTTTTTCTTTCTTTTTTCTTTCTTTCTTTTTTCTTTTTTTTTTTTCTTTCTTTCTTTTTTTTTTCTTTCTATTCACAACATTTTCTTTTTCAGACTACACAACACACTTTCTTTCTTTCTTTCTTTTTTCTTTCTTTCTTTCTTTCTTTTTTCTTTCTATTCACCACATTTTCTTTTCAGACTACACAACACACTTTCTTTCTTTCTTTCTTTTTTCTTTCTATTTACCACATTTTCTTTTCAGACTACACAACACACTTTCTTTCTTTCTTTCTTTCTTTCTATTCACCACATTTTCTTTTCAGACTACACAACACACTTTCTCTCTTTCTTTCTTTTTTTCTTTTTTCTTTCTTTCTTTCTTTCTTTCTTTCTTTCTTTCTATTCACCACATTTTCTTTTCAGACTACACAACACACTTTCTTTCTTTCTTTCTTTCTTTCTTTCTTTCTTTCTTTCTATTCACCACATTTTCTTTTCAGACTACACAACACACTGTCAGCTTGTATGCAAACACTTTCTAAGGTCAATGGTTAAAAATAGCTTTGAGGGAGTGTAGTCTGTGGGTCATGGCAAAGACCACACTTCTTCGAAACTTGTGAACTGGTACTACAGAATTATAAGCAAAGAACTGTAACAAATAACAAAAGCACATCACTTGAAGACTACCAACAGCAGCAACAACTAAAATGGATATCACATATAACTCAAATCGAAAATAATGAATTAATCAAGATTCTGAAGATTCACCCTACTTCAAATAATGTTTAGATAAAAACCTTCACATCAGTATTGTAAAGAGCTATAACAACTACTGGATTTTAGAAATCTATTTTCCTGAAAAATTGTTTTAAGAAAAAGAGTATATAAATTTCAACCGACAGTCAATGAATGCCAAATGTTTCCTTATAAGAAAACGGCTAATATTACCATTAAGAAAATATGTTCATTCCTTACGCTTGACCATACACTTATTACTTATATCATAAATTTATGCATAATTTCATATTTCACACTGCTTCAAATAAAATGTTAGGAAAGAAACAAGCGTAAGTAATCGAAAGAGCGATAACAGTTATTGGACTTGAGAAATCTATTTTCTTGAGAAACCGCTTTCCCTGAAAAAATTTTATAAGAGAAAGATTTTTATAAATTTCAACCGACAGTAGTACTGGCTGCTCAGTGAATAAATGCCAAATGTTTCCTTATAAGGAAACGGCTAATATTACCATTAAGAAAATATGTTCTGAAACATGTACGCTTATAATTTATATCATAAATTTATGCATCGTTTCATATGTGAATATATTATTTCGGATATCCTCTTCTTTTGGAGTACTCTTTGTTTGTTTTTGTTTGTGTTAATTCTTCTTTTCAAAGAACATTAATGAGTTTCCAGGTGTTAAGTATCGAGATAAACACCGTCAATAGAGTGATTATCTTTGTTTTACACTATAAGTAGCTTTATTGGTTCACTGTGTCGTGCTAAACAAATTACATACTTTCATGGTAATTGTTCTGACGAACTTTCCGCTATGGTACGTAGATTTTATAAATTTCAACCGACCGTAGTACTGGCTGCTCGTTCAATGAATGCCAAATGTTTCCTTATAAGGAAACGACGAATATTACCATTAACATGTATGTAGAAGTTATTGCGTCACGAGATTACTAGTATGATTCGGTAGATATTTAGTCACCATTTTGGATAGTAAATATTTACGGGCTCCTGGAAATTTTATCCCACAAGCAATATTGATGGACTCAATGACAGTCCAAGTGAAAAAACTAGAAAAAAAAAAAACCTAACACAAAACAATATAAAACAATCGACAACAAATTGCATGTGATTGACAAAAAGGAATTACGATTACAATAAAAGAAAAAACTTTAAAACACTAATTACGTAGAAAACTTTTAAATTAAAGAATGTAAGTTTTTGTTGGTCTACCCTGATAGAAACGTGTGTGAAAGAGTGTCTGCGTTTCAATTGTACGTATACTACAACTTAATTTAAGTTGAAAAGCTGTAAAGGTGAGTAGGGAGATAAATGAACGCCTTTATATAGGCCTAACGAGAGCATCCCCACCCCCCCGAGACGGTTTTTTAGTAATTGTCTTGAGGGTGACTTAAAAATCATATGTAGGGTGTCTTTGAAGGATTAGTATACCTCAGAGATAGATAGATATATAGATAGAGAGGGAGAAAGAGAGAGAGAAAGATTTGCTCTTATAAACTTTGAAATGGAGAGCCATAAAAACCAAGTGTAAACCGTGAATTAAAATGAAAGTAGCTTTCTACAAAAAACCACCAAAACAAGAGAGATAACATTAAAAACAAATTCATATTATTATGCCTGAGATAAGCTTAGTAATCATCTACCGGGAGAAATAATAATAATAATAATAATAATAATAATAATAATAATAATAATAATAATAATAATAATAATAATAATAATAATAATAATAATATCTCGAAAATGTGGCATATGGGAACATCAACAATCCCTGTTGTAGTTGGAGCCCTAGGACTGGTTGGAAAAGATTGCAGTAGACTAATTGAAGGGATTCCTGGAAGTCCATGCCTCAAGGAGACACAAAAAATTGTTCTGACAAGTACAGCCCACACCTTACAAAGGGCTTTATCTATGTAATTTAATCCTTTTTTTTTGTCAGTGGAAACTGTCATGACGCCATTTCTAACCTTAGGTCCCTGGGCGGGACCCGGAAAGAAATGTGTAAACGCCAGAAATCAAAGAAAATAATAATAATAATAATAATAATAATAATAATAATAATTTGCGTTCAAGAGCGATAAAGACCCAATCAAAAGCGACCCCCGTTTATTACACCTGTGTTAAGTCCCGTGCAAACCAAACCCTTTTTTTTCATTCTAATGCAAAATGGGCCTGATGAAAGCCGGAGGGCACAACGACCGAAACGTTGTGATAACAACAAAGATAAGGAAAATAGTGCGCATGTATTTAGTGTAAATAATGAATACTCCTCATCCCCGAAATTCAGACAGAAATTAATTCTCAGTTTAAATTAATTTAATTTTTAAAAAAATTATTTTATTTAATGATTTAAATTTAAATAATTATCTAAGATTAGACTGTATTCAAAATGAGCTACTTCCGGTTCCTTAATTATCGATATTTTATTCAGCAGGATTTGAACGTGTAAACTTTTTTTTTTTACATGCGAAGCAAGCACTCGCTACTGGGGTACATGGATTTCTCTTCGTTTAAATATATAATCTTTTGTTTAATAGCAGTTTTCTATTTAAAATCTAAACGAATAAACACTAATAGATATGATGAAAACAAAATGTACAAATATTTGAATAAACTAAAACAAATTAGAATTGAGAAATAATTTACGGGTGCCTCGGCATGTGGGTTATGGTTAATGAGCTAGACTAAAGATCATTACTGAAAAGTGAGTCTGTCTTCACTGCAGTCCTCATATAAGTGGTATTGTGCCTGAAATAATCTTAGTAATCATCTACCGGGAATAATAATAATAATAATAATAATAATAATAATAATAATAATAATAATAATAATGACAATAGCAATAATAATAATGACAATAATAATAATAATAATAATAATGAGATTGACAATAATAATGATAATAATCACAATGATAATAATAAGATAATAATGACATTGACAATAATGATAATGCCAATGATAATAATAATAATAATAATGCCAATGATAATAATAATAATAATAATAATGACAAATAATAATAATAATAATAATAATAATAAGAAGAATAATGACAATAATAATAATAATGTCAATGATAATAATAATAATAATAATAATGATAATAATAATAATAATGGCAATAATAATAATAATGCCAATAATAATAATAATAATGACAATGATAATAATAATGGCAATGACAATAATAATAATAATAATGACTGATAATAATGACAATGATAATAATAATAATAATGACAATGATAATAATAATAATAGTGACAATGACAATAATAATAATGACAATAATTATAATAATAATGACAATGATAATAATAACAACAATAATGATAACAGTAATCATAGCAAAACGAATGAAGAGAAGAAAAGTACCCAGTAACTTAGTAGTGTTTCAAAATTTTAATATATATCCACCGACTATTTGATTTCTTTTTATCATGCAGTTAATCTGCAGAAGTTGAAACCAAGTCTCTCATCTGACGCGCTAGGGATTTGCATATTTCATGAAATAGTGTGAAATTACTTTAGTGTTTATTCGCCGTTTCAGAAAATGCACCCGCAAGAACGTACGTGAAACGTCGGAGTTGATATCTTTACGGAATGAACCGACAATTGGGAAATCTGATCAAAAACAAACGGAAGGAGGTGTGAGAAAATGTTTAAAACAACTGTTTATGCCCAACAGGACCAATCAGAATGCCACAAGGGAATTATTTCTTTGCCGCCAGTTGTGAGAAATTACGTGGAAAGAGAATTCTATAAGCGAAAGGGCACCGGGTGCAAAATCTAACAAAAGAATCGCAGATTTAATGAATATAAAAAAAAAGAATGATCTAAATCTTGAACAAAAATGAACTTGAATGAAATAAAAATAGATCTATTTCCTTTAGGATGTGTCCGATCGTGGCTCTTCACAACTTCCTATGTTTTGTATCTCTATCTCTCCCAGTACCTGTTCTGTAATCAATTTACATCAGATCGTTTCCTTCTATCTTCTTGATTTCATTATATCCTTTGAGTGTCAAATTCTCCAAGCCTTCCTTCTTCATTTTGTATCTCACAATTTTCAACTGTCTTTTTTGGTTCGATTTTTCTTAATATCTCCTTGTTTCTCACATGCTCCGTCCATGTTATTCTTAGCATCTTTCTTTAGAAGTACATCTTCAAGCATTCTCTTCCTCTTTTGATAGAATTATCCACCATTCACTACCATACAGGAAAATTGATATAACATAGCATTTCAATAGCTTTTTCTTTGTTTTTAATGAAATTTGCTTGTGTTTTTTTTTAAATATTTAACTTAGCGTCGACTGATACAGGGGAAATATAGATAAGAAGGAAGATTGTGTTGCCTCAACTAATACGTAAATTCTACTAGCAGGAAATATGCATTTAACCAGACTCCCTTTATAAGCAGCTGCGATTGTCATTCGAACTCCTTTCTCTGGGTTTGTGTTCTGTTCCGCAATTTTATATTTTCATTTTTTGTAGATTCAGCTCATTTTTTCTATTTACAATGTTTTTTTTTGGCGGGTGCATCTATAGGGAGACCTTTTTTTCTTGCAGTAAGGTTCAATCTGTACAAGTCCTGGGGGCCACTCAAGGTAGAGGGTTACTTTAAGGGGTAGTTTATATGAATAGCTCGTCCTGGGTATGACTATAAACTACATCTGCGTCCTGGGTAAGACGATAAACTACGTCCAAAAGCAAGACCTCTGATCATGAGGTTTTGAGGAGTGTAAAACCACCTTT